AGTCTAGCTCCAAACACCATTAGCAAGTAAACACTGAGCTAAACTAGTCTCTATGCATTTTCTCCCCTGTGTTTTGATCTTTCTTTTTTTTTTCGGAAAGTAAGTAGTACCATTTGGCCACTGGTACCCATTTTCCTAGCACTTCTTGGAGATGCCAGTTGCTACCTCCAGTGCTTCATTTCCATACCCTGCTTGGAGCAAGCAGAGGCACCGGCTGGCTCACTTGCAGGAGATGGCACAGGAACGGCAGGAGCAGATGTGAAACTGGGTTTGTTCAGCCACAGCAGGAGCAGGGAAGGCTCCAGAGAGCAGCACAGGGATGGAGCCATCTCTGGAACCGCACGAGCTGAGTCAGTTTGGATGCTGTGAGCTGACACTGAGTCATAGGAAATCATTTCCAGGCAGAAACAATGAAAAGAGGTAACAACCAGGACGGGCTGAGTATTTAACCTAACTATTTAACTTTGTTTCATTTCTTCAGCGTAGAGACTTTTCCTGCTTTTTGAGTGGAGACAGACGGATTAAGTGCGTGTTGACAGCAAAGACTGATGATTCTGGGTAGTTACTCTTCCCTTTACTAGTACAGACCCCCAGATCCCCTTTTCCACAAAGGGCTGTGCAACACTGAGGCAGCGTAATGGCAACCAGTTCAGCAGGGGACTAGTTAATGCAGAAGAGCCTTCTGCACCTCAAGTAATTAAACTGATGAAAGTACAGGCTGCTCTCTCTCTCAGATCTGGGCCTGCAGCCCAGACTGGGCTACAGTTTCTTTTGCATCAGGTCTATAGCATTTTAATGGGGCAATAGAAGCAGGAGGAGAGGAATAAGGTCTCCATCCCTCACTCCCGCACTGACAGGATGGGAGACTCTAATGCTTTGTTCTTACCCAGCATCATCCACCACACATCTCAGAAGGGCTATAAATATTAGGCAACCTTCACAATCTTCCAGAAAGCTGAGAGGAATTTATTTGTAACATAAAAGATAGGAAATCAGATCTATTTTGCTTTCCCTTTAGTTATTCTGAAAGCTGGAGAGAGAGTTAGGAAGAGAGCCCAGAGTTCCCAGAGCACATTCCTCTGCCAGGCTTAGCAGACTGACTGAACATGTCCTTGGTCCCTCATCACTTGTGTGGAGGGGTTGCATCACCCCACTCCCAGATTTATGCACCCCATCAGGCTGGCTGTATGCATGGGATTGGGACTCTGCTTTTAGAAAGGGCATCCCGAGAACAACAGAGATTTTAATGTACTAAGTGGGCCCTGCTATACATGAGACAAGGCAGGAGAGAGGCACAGACAAAGCTCCTCCCTTATCCATGTCACAGAGGTGCTTTTTTGGCCAGCCTAGTTTAGCAGCAGTTTCTTTTATGGTGCTTGTATATATCCAAGCCCCTTCCTAATCTTCCTTTTGCAAGCAACATGGGAGCAATACCAATCCCAGTATTTAGCCTGACTAAAGAAACTGGAGTTTTTCCCTCTCTCTGTCTCTGAGCCCATTAGATGGAACTCTTCCTGTCTTTGCCCTCATAACCATCTCATTTAAAATCCATCATTTCTTAATGAGCCAAACACACATTACTTTGCATTTCCAGTGTGCACCCATTTGATGATCCCAGCAGCTCCAAGCAAAGCAATACCCCACCCTGTTGCTAGAAAGGAAACAACCTACAGGAGGGTGGCACTCTTAAGCCTGGCATGCATGGCCAGTGAGCTATGTCCTGCCACCGTGGCATGGCTCATGATGCCCGTTCACCCCAAATCTCTGGAGACCAGAGGAAATCTCCTAGCTCTCACACCCCAGTGAAAGACACAGCCCCTGCTGCTGATATGTGAATTTATTTATAAAGTCAGATCACAGCCTCCTGCAGTTATCGTTTTACAGTATTTGGTTTATGGACAACTCTTCTGAGAGTTATTACCCCTAACACTGGCTACTGTTGAGGGCAAACAATTTGGGAGCAGGCAAACCACTGTCCCATTCCCAACACCTAAAAAGGCCTATTCACCCTCCAGCACATGGAGAGTACCTGGCTTTTCAGAGAAGCCAGCCCTGTAGAGTACACTCATTGTCCTAATTGCATCTGTTGCATCAGCCATTCAAAGAAACTTGATGGCACAGAGGTGTGTGGTGGTATAAGCAGCCCTCAAAGATAAAAACACACCCCTAAAGGGGAGAGGGAGCTAGGGAAACAGAGCCCATCCGTCCTTGCTGTTTCCTGCATCCCAGCATCTTCTCAGCTGAATGCCTGGTGAGCTTGGGAATGGGATCTCAGATTGCCGAGCACTGAACAGTTTATAGATCTGGTTCCCAGGGGTGCCAGCAAACGCCAAAAAGAATGGATAGTCCAATTTCACCTGTTATGGCTAGAGGAGCTCATACTGCTTGTGTCCCCTAACTGTAACCCTCTGGCACCGAGACTATAAAGTAAGAAGAGTGGAAGTACTTCACATTAAGACCAGAACCAGAGACTGAACACTGTATTTCGCTTCCCTCATACACCGGACCCTTGTTTGTGAACTTCTTTCTTCCCCTTCCCTCACCTCTTCTGATCAAATCAGCCCTTCTGGTTACAAAATTAAGTAGTGCATGTTCCAATTGATCTGAAACGTGTTTTCAGCCTTCACCCAGGCTCAGGACAAAGTCAGAGGAGAGGAAGGAAATCTGGAAAGGAAGGAAAAGTCTAGTGGGGTTAGAATAGAGCCTGTAATCAGGATTCAAAATTTGTTCTGGTTGCTGCCACAAATGCCTGTAACTCTTCACTGCACAAAGGATGTTCCATCACATGCTTCTCCAGAGTTCCTCGTGGAAAGCACTACGGATTGCCTCTGCACTATACAGTAGCATGTTCTTGCATAGTTCAAATTACCTTCCCAAGGAGGTAAGTCCTTGCTAAAAAAGCCCGAGCAGAAAAGGCTTCATCTTGTATTTGAATTTCCTGTAAGTGTGATGGGAATACTCTCATAACCCGCCAATGGAGTGAAACACCAAATGTTTGCAGCATCTTTTGTTCACAGGATGCCAATGAAAGGAGGAGATTTTTCTCCCGCCTGAGGTGCAACACAGATAGCAACAATCACAAGAATTCACATGCAAATGATACAGTGTTGCACAACCTTAAGTGAAATGATCATCGGTTCTTCTTTTCATTGAGTTCAGCAAGGCCGGGAAGGCTTGAAAATCACCTCTGACCCTACACGAGCAACAAGCCTCTGGAAGCGTTCACTAACTCCTTTTAAAACTCTTTGGCATCAAGAGTGCCTTTTCTGACAGGCACCGTTCTGTGCAGGAATGCCCTTTGGTGTGGGAGCCTACCCAAACCTAATTTCTTCTGGTTCAAAGACTCACCTCTGCCCATCTCACCCTCCCACCTCAAACATCTGGACTCTTCTACATCTAACTCTCCTCGTCTTTTTATCATTTATCCAGTCTTCCTCTTTAGGGCAATCCGTCTCCCTCCCAGGAGGCTCGCACATTACCCTGCGTCTGAAGTCCGTTTTCCAGCAAGGCCTCAGAAGAAGAGGGTGCTGCTGGCCCGCAGCCACCCCCCCGCACCCCGAGTCACAGCCTGCCTTCGCCTCCTGCAGGAGCACCCCCGGGGGGGCCCTTTTCCCGAGGGATCGCTCCCGAGCTGGGGAGCCCGGACTCCCGAGGTTGGGGGGTAGGGGACAGGGGAGCGAGCCCTCCCTGCGGGATGCCACCGGTTCCCCCTCTCCCCTTCGTGCGCCCCGCAGGGGACGGCCCGGCCGGGCGCTGCCACGGGCACCCGCCCCGCACCATCCCCGGGGTGCGTGTGTGTGTGTGTGCGGGGGTCAGGGGGGGGGTCTCACCTTGGGCAGGTCGGCGGCGCCCCGGATCCTCTGCGCCACCCGCTCCCCCTCGGGGTGGATCCTGCCCACATGCCGCCACATCCGCTCCCAGGTGGGCTCGTCCACGGGCAGCCCCCCGCGGTTGACGAAGAAGGGGACGCCGCCGTCGCGGAGATCCTCCTCGCCCTCCTCCTCCTGCTGCTCCTCGTCCCGCGTCGCCGCCGCCGCCGCCTCACCGGACGGGGGTCGCCTGGCGGCGCCCGCGGCCCCGCCGCCCCCCGGCATCGGCATCGCCGCCG